GTCTGAGATGTTTAAGAGATGATGAAACTGTTAAAACACGAGCTCTGAGTGAAGAGACCCCTAAACAGGTTTTGTATGAGGAACATGGCTGTTTATTCACCAGGGTGCGGGTGGGCTGAGTCCGAAAACAGAGTCAGCAAAGGCGGGTGGATAGGAGTTGGTTTTATAGGTTGTGGGGAAGGCAGTGGAAAATTACAGGAGTTACAGTTTAGGGCGGTTTTTTGCAAGCTGGGAGGGGGTCGTAAGTTTGCAAGCTGGGACTGGTTGTAGGGCGTGGAGTCAGGAGGTTGGCCAAGGTCAGTTCAAAGTCCAATGGACTTGTCAATCGGGGCCGGAATAGGAAACAATAGAAGAATGTCTCAAGTTAGGCGCTGCAAGGGTTGATCATTTCTTCCAGGAACTCATCTGGGGTGTACATGTGGGTCACACAGATTACCATGCCATTCATGGTCCCGTCAGACCTTACAGAAACCAGCTTGCACTTCTCAAAGTGTGTTCACATCCATTATTTCACTGGGGACCAGCTATTATCTTCTCTATTTTCTTTATAAGGATATTGAGAGAGAGATGAAATCACTTGCCCAAAGCTAGTTAATGACTGAACTAGGCTTAAAACCAGCATCTGAAGGCTCTAATTCCAGTGGCAGCAGCTGTGTGCTGCTTCTGTTTCCTCTCAGTTTGGAAGGGGAGCATAAAGTCTACAGCCACAAGGGTGGAGTCAGCAGAAGGATGATTGACCACCGAGCCTGAGGCAGGTGAGGCTGATCTCCTGAGCACAGGATCTCTGCAGTTGTTCACAGAAATGATATGATCCAAAGTTGCTGAGGGAAAAGCCCCTATTTGTGCAATTAACTGCAGGTCTCTCTTGAGGTCAGAATAAATGTTATAGACCTTGTTTATTCTTTATTGTTATTGTGGTAAGGTATATATAATGTAACATGTACAGTTTTTGCCGGGCATGGTGGCTCATGCCTGTAATCCCAGCATTTTGGGAGGCCGAGGCAGGCAGATCACCTGAGGTCCGGAGTTCGAGACCAGCCTGGCCAACATGGTAAACCCTGTGTCTACTAAAAATACAAAAATCAGCCGGCCATGGCAGCAGGTGCCTGTAATCCCAGCTACTCAGGAGACTGAGGCAGGAGAATCACTAGAACCAGGGAGGCAGAGGTTGCCGTGAGCCGTATCGTACTATTGCACTCCAGGCTGGGTGACAGAGCGAGGCTGTTTAAAAACAAAATAAAATGTACCACTTTTACGTGTACCGTTTAGTGGCACTAAGTACATTCACACTGTTGTGCAACCATCATCATTTTCCATCTTTTGTATCTTCCCCAACTGAAACCCCACACCCACTAAGCCACAGCTCCCCCTTCACCCCTCCCCAGCTCCTGGTGACCACCATTCTACTTTCTGTCCCTGGGAATTTGGCTCCTCTAGGTACTTATGCAAGGGGACTCATACAATATTTGTGCTTTTGTATCTGTTTCATGTTGACTTATTTTTAATTAGATCACCATTTTCAAGTGCAGCAGGAATGCTGGTTAGTGATGTGCCGTGCCTATACAGGAGTAAAGGAAAGAAAGAACAAAAAGGAAAAAGAAAACAGGAACATTTTGGGGTGGATTTCTTGACTGTCAGGGGTACCAGATGTAAGGGGGCGGCAGTGGGGGGTGGATAGGAAGAAAGTGTTACATAGAAAACAAAATGCTGTGCTTTATCATTCCACGGGTGGGCTGGCATTTATCCTGGAGGTAGATGTTTTGAGGATTATGCTATGATCAACTCCGACAGGGAAGCGCTCTGGTAAGAACAATGAGACTTTCTGGGCATGTGGAAGGCAAGACAAATTGTTTTGCAAGATGAATCCCCAGGAACTTGGAGTTTGGGTAGAAGGCCGTAGAAGAGAAGAGAAAGGCTGGAGAGAAGATGGTTTAAGTTGGGACTTAGGGGACAGTGAGAAGTTTTCTGAGGTGGGAGATGGTTGGTGAACTTTCAGGGTAATGTCTATTCATAGATTTTCATTTGCTTACTGTCATTCTTTCTCTATGACCCCTAACCTTGAGTAAAAGTCTGCCGCTGTGTGAGCTGGGGGTGGCTGGGATCATGCCCAGAGAGGGCTGAGCAGAGGGTGATAAAGAGGGGGAGGGAGAGGAGAGCAGCTTTGGGAGGAGGCGCAGATGGAGGCTGAGAGGCGGGAAGCAGGGAGTCCGAGCCAGAGGTCACCAGAGGAAGCACAAACCTTCTGAGAATCTTGGCATCCGAAAGCTGGGGGGTGGTGGCAAGATTTGAGAGGGACTACAAGGTTGGGGGGACACATGATGGAGTCCCTATACTTAGGGGAATGGGGCTGGAGTCGCCACTTGGATATTATAGGGCAGGCACGCCAGTTAGACAGCCCAAAGGAAGGAGTGGATGGATTTCTCTTGGAGACCTTTAGCAACATTTGGACGAGGCACAGCCCAGGTAATGAGGAAGTCCCTGTAGTTCAGCTCACTGCCTCCAAGATTTCCAGATACACCGAGAAGAGGACTGTGTTTCTCAAAACAGAGATGGACGTAGAACCAAAGCCAAGCCCAGAACATGTCTCAAGCTTTCAAAACAACATTCTCTTTAAAATCATCTGAAAGCAGAGATGTATGGCAGGTGACATAAGCTTTTTTGTGTGTGTGTGAGACGGAGTCTCACTCTTCACCCAGTTTGGAGTGTAGTGGTGCAATCTCAGCTCACTTTAACCTCTGCCTCCCAGGTTCAAATGATTGTCTTGCCTCAGCCTCCTGAGTACCTGGGACTACATGTCTGCACCACCACGCCTGGCTAATTTTTGTATTTTTAGTAGAGACAGGGTTTCACCGTGTTGGCCAGGCTGGTCTTGAACACTTGGCCTCAATCGATCTGCCTGCTTTGGCCTCCCAAAGTGCTGGTATTACAGGCGTGAGCCACTGTGCCCAGCCAACATATGCTTTTTGTATCCACCAGACATAGCAGGAATCCAGTGAGAAGGTTGGGCTGCTCCCACCAGAACCTGGAGAAGCCTGGCATGAAGAGTGAGCTGTGCATCATGTGGCTGGGAATGCTTGGTGATTCTCTGGCCAGGTCCTGGGCTAAGTGTGGGCCGGGGATGGAGCCCTGCCTGGAATCAGTGATGCATCCTGAAATCTCTGGACCAGGCTGCATGGTGACGGAGACCACGATGAGGCTGGCCGAGGACATTTCTCTCTGGTGCTCTCCAGCCTTGGCCCTGAGAACCAAGGCTCTAGGCTCATCTGGCTAGATTGATCCTGTTTTAGGCCCAGCCCAGCATCCTTTTGTTACTTGGGACCTGGGGAGAAAGGCCTGGCTTGGCTCACACTCGAGGAGGTTTGCCAAATGTGTTAGTTACCACTAAAAGCTTGTAAACCTGGGGTGCAGGATGTCATGGGGGCCTGGGCTGGCTCGAGGATGTGCTGTTTAGAAGTTCCAGAAGTTCCCTGCTGGCTGGGAGGGAAGAATGTCTCTGCAGAGTGAGAGGCAAGCCTGTCCTGGGCCTGGGCCAGCTTTCCCTCTCGCGGGCCCCTCTGCTCCGGGGGAGCTGCGTGTTCCCTTCTACTCAGGCAGCTTGGGAAAGACCAGAGGCCCTTTCAGGGAAGGGAGAAAAAGGGAAACAGGCCTGAAATGACTGTCGTGAAAGCCCACTTCTGAGCTTCAGCCCAGAGCACAAATGGATTTTCTCCTCAGTTATGAGAACGTGGAGAGTTCCAGAGGTTGCTCAGGGAAGTCTAGAGCCTCAGAGCTCAGGTACTAGGAAGACCTTGAAGACCAGTTAGGACAGCCCCCTCATTTTACTGGAAGGCTAATTTGAAACAGAATGGAATTTGGCAGGGGCTGGAATGCCTTTTTTCTTCTGAGGCTTCATTTCCTGAAAGAAACAGTGTCCATGATGAGCTGATTTCACTAATTCACTCATTGCATTTTTTTTTTAAAACCTCAGCTGTCCAGATCTGGCTTCTTTGGAAGGTAACAGAGTTTGTGGCTTCCAGGGTGTTTTCAGTTTGGGGCCATAATTTTTGTTTGTTCATTTAAAATATTTGTTCACCACAGGCTTATTGCCAGGTCTTCCTATGCACAGCATCAGGCTGTGCTTGTGAATGGCCAAGGGAAGCTGGAAATAGGCGAAATCAGGAATATACTAGAATAAGGCAGGGGCTGGTGTGGTCTAGGAGGGTTAGAAGGTAGAGGCTGGCAGACCTGGGATTAAGGGTGGTGTTTGGGCACCCTCAGTGAAGAGACTTCATAGCTACGGAAGAGACCAAGAGACCCTGGATAGACATCTGTGTAGGGCCCAGGGACTCAGGACCCCCTGTAGATGCAGCTGAGCAGCACCAGGAGGGCTCTGAGATGGACAGGCCCCTGGCACAGGAAGCTTCAGAAAGAGGAGGCCTGCACTGGGGCAGCCAGGCATATCAGGAAGAGAACTCAAAAAAAAAAAAAAGGAAAGAGAGACAGAAAGCGGGTGGCACAGAGTAAAGTGGGGCCTGAATTAATTATAAATGGTGGTGGCTGTATCTTTTTTTGGGAGGGGCCCAGGAGGCTGCCAACTTTGATCTCATTTTTCAGGACAGGACTTTAGGTTACCTCTTCTATCCACCACTCAATCACCAGAGAGTTAGTGCCTTCTGACAGAAGCAGCTCTTGGCAGAACACACAAGACATAAGCAGCTGGGGCTGGGGCAACACCTGCGAGGGGTGGGCTGGGAAAGAGACAGACATAACGCTGGTGCAGGCGAGGAAAGTCTATCATAGCCTCCTGTCCTGGGAGGCAGAGTGGAGGGGCGAGCGGCAGGGTTTGGGGAGGGGCCATCTCTGTCTTATTCACATGGTAGTCCCAGTGCCTAGCTCAGTGCCAGGCAGGCCTTAAATAACCAAATCATCAAATAACAGAATGAGTGAAAATAGCATATGTCTGAACACACAGAGTGCCATCCTCTCAAATCCCTATGTTAACCTGTATTTTTCTTCTTCAGGATTTATGGAATAATCGGGAATCTTTGCCTACCGTGAGCTTTTCCCTTTAGGAAGGTTCTTCTCATTGGTGGTGTGACAGAGGGCACTGAAGCTGTATTCCTGCAGTGATCTTAGCATAAAGACCCTCCATCTAACAGGGAAAGGGCGGGTGGGAGGAGGGCCAGGAGGCCCTCCTAGAGTGCAGCTGGCTGTGCAGGATGCGGAGGGTGGGCTGGTACAGAGGCTGAGGGCAGAGGTCAGGGTGAGAGGAGGCATTAGCAGCTTTGTTAATTGCATTATATCTTTCCTCCAGGTGAGACAACACTAGGCTTATGCCTCATCCTCAGCAGGTGACCAAAGGAGGAAGATAAAACAGAACTTCCACATGCTCTCTGGTGAGCTGGAACCCCTGCTACTGGTTGCTCTGAGAAGCCATGGGTTTTCTTCCTTGGACAATTTCAGAGCCCATCATTATGGTTTACGGAAAGGAAGTGGTGCTGAAAGAGACCCCTGCTTCTCCTGCCAGCTCTTCTCCCTTGAGAAAGCCCCTCCACTTCTCCTGAGCTTGGTTTCAGAAGTGATGGTTCATCCTCTCCCGTTGGGAGTCCTTCCGGGATGGGCTCCATGTATTCCTCCAGCGGCAGGGGGATGGTTGAGATGACCTTTTCAGGTCACTCAGGAAATCTTCCAGTTTCTCAGGATGATCTAAGCATCTCCCTTTCCTTTAGAAGCTGTCAGAGCTAACTCCGCGTGGGCGTGGGCTCCTGGCAGCTACCTCACCTCCCCTCCAATATTTAAAAGATCTATGCTGGTTCTTAGGGCTTCCTAATCACAGGCCCTTTTATTCTGGGCTCTGCCTGAAAGGCCACATCCATTTTTTTCCTGAAAGCTAGCTAGGTCCTCTGGGCTAAACACGACCGCCCCACAGCTCTAGAAATGGCTGATTTTCGTTATGCCCTTTCCAACCAGATTATTTCTTAAATTGCTCTCCCCCGGCTGGGTGTTCTGGGACACAAACGCTAGTGTGTGGGATCCCCGGCTTTCCTTTCTGCCTGAGCAGCTGGGGGAGAGCCTCAGTTTCTCCTGGCCTGCGGGCAGCAGCCGACCCAGCCTAGGGAATGAGCCTCGTGTACTCTCGGGGGCCCAGGACCGCGGGGCCGCGCCGAGGACCCTCTGAAAGGCAGACCACCACGAGGCAGCGTGAGGACCACACTGCCGCGCCCCGGAGCCCGCCGCCGCCTGTCCCCGCGTCTGAGGTCCACAGGAAGAGCGGCGGCAACGCGCGCCCCGGAGGAGGCTTTGTGAACCCAGGCTCGGCGCGCCCCCCGCGCGCGCCCCTCACAGGCAGCCGGGGCCAGCCTGCCGCCGGGGCCCCTCTGGGAAGGGCTCGGAGGCGACGCGGGGAGGGGGCCAGGGGAGGAGGGAGCGTTCCTGCAAATCACATGATTTTCCCGCTTATATAAATCACAGCTTGTTTTTCTCAACCGGGTGCAGACTTAAAGGTGCAGTGTCTCCTTTCTGTCCCAGGGGCAGAGGTTCCCCAGGGTGCTTTTGACGACCCCTGAGCTGGGCTGGGGTGGTTTCACCAAGGAGGGTTCAGGGTTCAGAGTTCAGGAACCTCCACCCCATCCCCCATCCCGGGATGTTTCCTTTTAGCTCGGGACCAGGGAGGGGCATGGAAATCCGATCGCCAAATCAGCAGGCAGAGCCGGGCTGGGGCGGCCTCCAGCGCCTCGCCTCGGTCAGCGATCGTTCTGGAGACCAGCGATGCCCGTGGGAGACCCTCAGCTGAGGGTTACATTGAAATTGGCCTGTGGCAGATTTGCGGTGGCCAAGAGTAGACTTCTAAGGGTGATGCTTAACGTTCTGACTAGCCCTGGCTGTTTGTTTGAGGCCAAGTTATGTGGGAAGAAAAACGAACTCAACACATGTATCCAGCACCTATCATCTACCTATTAGGCACTGTAGGGAGAAACCAAGACCTTTTAGACAGTCCTCACCTCCAAGTGGTTTATAGTATTTAGGTGATGAAATACGTAGATATAGACATAGAGGCAGACATGAAATAGAGATTAAATAGCAGCTGGGTGCAGTGGCTCACGCCTGTAATCCCAGCACTTTCAGAGGTCCAGGCGGGCGGATCAGCTGAGGTCGGCAGTTCGAGACCAGCCTGGCTAACATGGTGAAACCTTGTCTCTACTAAAAATACATTAGCCAGGTGTGGTGGCGCATGCCTGTAATCCCAGCTACTCGGGAGGTTGAGGCAGGAAAATCGATTGAACCTGGGAGGCGGAGGTAGTGGTGTGCCAAGATTGCACCACTGCTCTCCAGGCTGGGCAACAAGAGCAAAACTGTCTCAAAAAAAAGGAAAAAGATTAAAAAGCACCAGTCAGTTTCAATGCCTATTCTAGGCTAAACAGAAGAGAGTTACAAGGCAATGCATAATTACTTGCTTGATCAACAGTACAGATAATGAGTCCTGCAGGCCTTGGGAGGAGGGCCCTTGAGGCCCTGACTGACAGGTGGCCAGAGGCAGGTGGGGGACAGGCAGCTGGGGGAGGAGGGACTGCAAGTGTCAGGAGGGGAGAAAGGAGCATTATGTTGGAGCAATCTCTTTGCTAAACTGAGGAATTGGGGAGAGGAGGAGTGGGGGGTGAGGCTGGGAAGCTGTGGGGAGGCCAGGTGCAGTGGCCTTGAGTGCAGGGCTGAGTGTGGACTTGGTCTGGTGAAGGCAGTGGGCAAGCCTGCAGAGGTGGCAGGGCAGGTGAATGCTATGATGAAGGGGGTGTTTGTAAGGACCACAGGTGTGGCAGCAGTGTGCAGGATAAGCTTGAAGCACTGGCAGAGACCTGCTGGAGGCTTCTGCAAGGAACCAGGCTGACAAGGTCATAGTGCTAGGGTGTTAAGAGAAAAGGTGAAAGTGAACAGCGAGAAGTAGGAGATTTTGAAGAAAGAATGGAGATGATTGAGTGATTGTGTATATGGCAAAGGGGAGAAATCACCAGAGGTGATGTTGATTTTGAGCACGAGTGGCAGGGAGAAGAGGGCAGCCCTTAGGTGGAGGGGGTGTGTGTGAGTGGCCAGAAGAGGAGCTGCTTTTGGAGATGGCGTTTTGTGAAGAGAGTGGGCTCTTAACTGGGAAATGTCCAGTGGGCTGAAGTCAGAGGGAATAACTCAAGGGATGAGAGAGATCTTGCAGATCTTACAGGAGATCACAGAAAGGGGGAAAGAGAAGTGGGGCCAGGGGACACCCATGTTTAGGAGAAGGAGCCGCTGGCCAGGCTCTGGAAGGAATGTTCACACCCCAGGGGCAGACGAACCTGGGCACCAAGTGTCTCTGCCTGACCTTGGCCAAGTGATTGATTCTGTCTGAACCTCAGTTTTCTCATCTCTAAAATGGTGCTGACAGCACTTGCACTAGTTTCAGTGAGGATGCAGTGACATGTCTGAAGCATCTCACAGGGCACAGTGTCTGGCGCAGGGCGAGTCCCAGGTGCTCTTCCTCCCCACGCTTCCCTTCCGGCCACGCCCTCTATGTCCTTCACGGCAGGCACTTGAACCCAGTTTCTCTCCTTTTAAATTGTTGTTTTTCTTCTTACCCCTCTTCCTCTTCATCTCCTTTTTCTAGAAGAAACACGCAGTCTTGTTTGCATGACTAATTATTTGAACTGGAAATACCCTCCATTATGAAGGAAGGAAATAATAAATTTTTTTCCTAAGGGCCTCTTAGCCGAAGCTGGCTCTGACCTCACCGGATCCTTCCAGCAGCCCTGCAGGGTTTGGGAAGGCAGATATTATCAGCCCCTTTCCCTCCACATAGCTGAAGAAATGGAAGAATGGTTGTAAAAAGTTTTATTATTCTGTTGAGAACCACATGTCTAATCAGTACTCTCTAGTTCAAAGCTTTCTAAACGTCTATTTGTAGCCCTTTATTTTTGGAAATAATTTTACTCAGTAGTCAAATAAAATAGATATAGGCAACCCAGTTCTGGTTTCAGTGCAGTGGGGAGGTTCTGAGTCACGACTGCTTGGCGGTGCTCCCGCTCCCTGTCCCAGGCCAGGCTGAGAACTGGGGCTTTCCTTCTGGGGTAACCCAGCACCCAGAGCCTCTGCCTCTACACTAAGCTTCATTCTTTTCCTTTTTAGCCACGAACTTTGTGACTGTGAAAGCCAGGCCCCAGCCCAAGAAGGCTTCACAGACCCCTAGGTGTGCCCTCTGTGTGAGCCAAGTGTTGACTCTGGCGATGATGCCAACAGCCCGGCTCTGCCCAGCTTTCAGCCGCATGAGTGTGAACCAGCGGAGCAGCACCAGCTCAGGCCAAGGCAGAAGGCCAGGCGCACTGTCTGGCCAGGCAGGATGAACAGCAGCACCTGATGTCATGGGGGGCAGGGGAACCACCCTGGCTGGGGCATGCTAACCTACCCTGCTAATGTGCTTTTGGTCCTAATTCCCTTTTTGAATGAGTTTCTTTAAAAAATGGCTTGTTAGGTGAAAAGATAGTTTGTGTTTAAAAAAAATTTATTTTAAGGCAGAGTCTCACTCTTTCACCCAGGCTGGAGTGCAGTGGTGGAATCTCGCCTCACTGCAACCTCTGCCTCAGCCTCCCAAGTAGCTGGGACTACAGGTGAGTGCCACCATACTCGGCTAATTTTTTGTATTTTTAGTAGAGACGGGGTTTCCCCATGTTGACCAGGATGGTCTCGATCTCTTGACCTCGTGATCCACCCGCCTCGGCCTCCCAAAGTGCTGGGATTACAGGCGTGAGCCACTGCGCCCGTCTTGAGAGTGTGTCTCAGTCTGCTGCCCAGGCTGTAGTGCAATGGCACAATCACAGCTCACTGCAGTCTCGAACTCTTGGGCTCAGGTGATCCTCCTGCCTTAGCTGGGAATATAGGCATGCACCACCATGCCTGGCTATCTTTTCACTTTTAAAACAAGTAGACTTTTGATGAACAGAAGTTGCTGTAATACAGTTGAGTTTTGTATACATTTTTGATATTGTTAATTGCTCAGCTTGTACTTCTGTTAATAGTACATAAGAGTGCCTGGTTTTCCACACTCCTGCTAACACTGGGCATGAATGATTTTAATTTTGTTAATCTGACGGGTGAAAACGGTGTCTTATTGTTTTGATCTGTCTTAAATATGGCTAAGCCTGAACATATTTTCACAGGCTATTTGCCTTTTACATTTCTTTTTCTGTTTTCTTCACTTTTTTTCTATTGAGTCGTTTGCTTTTTCTTAATTGATTTGTGAAGGCTTTCTGAATAGTAAAGAAATATACCCCGTTTCTGCCGTGTGTGGCTGCATGCCGCATGTGTACCTCCTAACTGCAGGCCATTGATGATGCAACTAGAAAAACCTGAGCCTCTGTACTGCATTTGCCCTCTTTGGCCCTTGAACACTAGCTGTGTTGCACTAGCTGCCATTGGAGGCTTTGTGGAGGCGGCAGGTGGAGCAATGTAGTTCTGTAAAAGTAGAAGCATCTAGGATAGGGAGTGTGTACGCTGTCTTCTACTGAAGGGTAAAACAAACAGACGCCAGAGAGAAAGTTTGAGTTGGACCAATAGGAATGTGGCTTGCATTCTCATTTCTTAAGTGAAACGTTACGAATTCTGAAGTGTCTTGTGTAGCTTGGCTGACCTGGGCTAGTGGTGAGAGTGGGAGAATGGAATAGTTCTGAGGGTCTGGCTGTACCAGGCATGCAGCCCTGCGGGGGAAATGGAGGTTCAAGTAAGCTGACTTGCTCCAGGTCACATGGCTGTCGGTGGCCAAGCTGGGATTCAGCTCTGGGACTAGCTGACTCTTCAGCTTGGCTCTTTGCGGCATAATAATGGTTCTACCATGATTAGGCTCAATTAGGGGAAGACTTGGCTTTTATAAGGAGATTTGTCAAGAGAGCCTCATAACAAAAGAGTTGAATTAGAACGTATTTTAAATAGATTGCCATCTCAACAGTGAAATTTTATATTTCTATGTTTTAATGTCAATAATTGGCTTAAGTAGTCCCTCTCAGAGAACACAGGTAAATTAACAGTAATTATAATTGGGCTCTATTGAAAAAAAGCAATAGTCTTAATAGTCCTGTTCATGCCTGAAAGAATGTTCAATGGAGAAGCCAGCCAGGATTCCATTTTTCCCTCTCTTGCCTTCAGTACAATTTGGATGACATTACACTTTCTCTTCACTCATTTATTCCTCCAACAACTGCTTACCACATTCACATTCTGTGCCATTTCGTTAAGAGCTGAAAGAGTGGTGAACAGCCCTAGGGCCTGCCCTCACGGAGCCTGCAGTCTAGTGAGAGGGATAATCAATAAACAAGAAAACAAATAAAATACTTAACAGCTGTTGTAAGTGCTGTGAGGGCCATTCACACGTGCTTCAACAGACCATAATATGGGATTGACTTTGGTGGGCGGGTCAGGGAAGGCCACGCACATTCTGTGGGTGATTGGGTACTATCATTTATTTTGGAGTTACAAATACCTCTTACAGCT